GCTGGGAGCGCAGCAGCGCTCCCGCCGCAGGTTCAGATCCTATATAGGGATGACCGGTGCGTTTACAGCGCTCACTGGCTGAGCCCGGTGCGGCCGGTCTCAAAAAGGACAAAAAAAAAAACAAACAAACAAGGAAGATATAAAATCACTGATTTAATCTTCTATGAGAAGTTTACAGCGCTCACTGGCTGAGCCCGGTGCGGCCGGTCTCAAAAAGGACAAAAAAAAAACAAACAAACAAGGAAGATATAAAATCACTGATTTAATCTTCTATGAGAAGCTAGGAAAAGAAGAGCAAGTTAAACACAGAAATAGAAAAAGGAAACAAAAATAACGGTGGAAATTAATGAACTAGAGAACAAACAGTCAACAATGTCAATTGGTTTTTTAAAAAGATTCATAAATTAGATAGTTCTCTAACGAGAGTGATCAAAGAGAAAAGAGAGAAAGCACAAATGGTCAATTAAAGAATGAAAAAAAGGAGACGTTATTACAGATCCTCAGACATTAAAAGAATTAAAAGGAGATAAGAACAGTATTATGTCAATAAATTCCACACTTAAATGGTACCTTCCTTGAAAAACACAAATTACCAAAACTGACCCACAGAAGTAGAAAATCTAAATAACCTGATACTATTAAATTAATTTATAAAAAAGCCTTCCCACAAAGAACACTTTAGGGCCATATGACTTCACTAGTGAGTTCTACCAGACATTTAAGGAGGAAATAATACCAGTTTTACACAAAATCTTTTTAGAAAATAAAGGAGGAGGGAACGGTTCCTCGCTCATTTTATGAGGCCAGCGTATCCCTAATACCAAAACCTGATATAGGTACTGTAAAAAAAAAGAAATTACAGACCAGTGTTCTTCATGAACAGATACAAATATTCTTAAGAAAATATTAGCAAATAGAGTTCAGCAAGTGGGATTTGTCACAGAAATGTAAGATTAGTTTAACATTTGAAAATTAATACATGTAATTCACCATATTAAGAGACTAAAAGAGAAAAAAACATCAGATCATTTCAATAAATGCAAAAAAATAGCATTTGATGGAATTTATAGTCCATTCATAATAATGCTCGGCATCTTAGTCAGCTAAGCATCCTGTAATGAAATACCATAGACTGGGTGGCTTAAACAGCAGACATTTATTTCTCATAGCTCTAAGAGGCTGGGGAGTCCAAAATCAAGGTGCAGATTTAGTTACTGGTGAGGGTCTTCTTCCTGGCTTGCATAGGGCTGCCTTCTCATTGTGTCCTTACATGGCAGAGAGAGAGACTGAGTGAGCTCTGGTCTCCCTTCCCTTCTTCTGAGTACACTAATCCCGTCATGGGGGCTCCACCCTCATGATTTCATCTAAACTTAATTACCTTCCAGAGGCTCCACCTCCAAATACCAGTACATGGGGGTTAGGGCTTTAGCATAAGAATTTTGGGTTGACATGAATATTCTGTTCATAACACTCAGCAAATTAGGAATAAAAGAGAACTTTTTCAATCTGTTACAGAACATCTGTGATAAACCTGTAGCTAACATCATACTCAATGGTGAAACATTAAACTCTTTTCCCTTAAGACTGGGAATCGGGCACTCAACATGGCAGTAGTAGTCCTAGCCATTGCAGTAAGGCTAAATGAATAAGAAATAAATAAGAAATACAAAAAGCATAAAGATCTGAAAAGAAGTAAAACTTATTTGCAAATGACACAATTGAGTGTGTAGAAAACGCCATGGAATATATAAGAAAATTGCTATACCTAATTTATCAAGACTTCAGGGTTCAGAGTCAACCTATAGAAGTCAATTGTGTTCTTATATTCTAGCCATGAACAACTGGAAGATGTGATTTTAAAAAATACCATTTATAATAGCATCAAAAAATATTAAATATCCAGGAATCAATCTAATGAATGATGTCTGAGTCTTCTACCCTAAAAGTTAAAAACTTCGTTGAGAGAAATTATAGACCTAAGTAAGTGGAAAGCTATACCAAGTTAGTGGATTGGAAAACTTGATGTAGTTGGGATTTCCATCCTCAATAAATTGATCTGAAGATACAATAAAATCCCTATCAAAATTTCAATGGGCTGCTTTGAAGAAATGGACAAGCTAATTGTGAATTTATATGGGGATGTAAGAGATCTTGAAT